TATAACACAACAAATCTAGATCCAAGTCTCCCACAAAGTTGATTCTGCTCATCTGAACGTTTTTAGTGGAAGAAATGTTTTGTGACTCATTGAAGTGACGTCTTCAGCCTCAGCTGACTGCAGGTTTCCAACCTTATAAACAGGACATTTGTATAATGACTGAAACTTGCACCACTAAGGAACAATGGGCTGGGAGGTCATTTTAACGCACTTTGGTAAAGACTGCCTAACGCTAGTACGTGAGTACAAGCAAACAGCTTGGCTGGCTACAGGAGCCACCGGAGATTCAGCCTCACATGCAGAAAATGCAGGATTTACTCCTACAGGTCTGCAAATGAGCTCATCAGTTAAGAGCCTCCGAGCAACTAAAATCCTCCAGATTTTGCTGCCACTGGTCCTCTTACAACTCTGGGTTCTGCCACACTTTCTGCCTTTAATCTCTCTGTCTATTCATCTGTCCATCAGTGTTGATCATTGATTTTTGTTCCACACAGATCCTCCAGTGCTTCCCTCAGACTCTTTGTTTGCTGTATTTGTTGCACTTGTGCATGTTTGCAGTACTGCCACTAATCTGTATGAAACCCTTTAATCTCTCAGCTCGTATTTCTCATTCAATAAAATAAGACTAGTTAAACAAAATACCTACATGCAGTCACAATAACTAACTGCACCCGTGGATCAACAGCAGTTACCCAGGACCAACACATATGGGTACACACATGTGTGTATAGCTTTATGCAATAAGACTACACACCTTTGGAGTGGGAGTCGTGGGTTCGAGTCCCCACCAGGGCGTCTGTCTGCCCAAGTCCCAAGTGTGATGGAAGAAGGATCGTTGGTGTCAGTGGAGCTGACCTGAAAGATAGTCTTGGTGACTGGCTACAGAGGATCCATGTTTCAGGCTTGGCCATGGTCCTAAGTGAAGCACCCTCTGAGAATCTACTAGATGATGTGAATGCAGCACCGAGACTAACCAGCTCATCTAACAAGTGAAAGAGACGTCGATTCACTGATCTACAGCAAGGACATTGAAATGTCATTCAGATTGGAGAAGTCTAGTCAGATGGTAACGAAGAGAGGAAAGGTAGTCAGAACTGAGGGGATCGAACTACCAAAGGCAACAGTGCAGGCATCGAGGACAGCTGCAAGTACCTGGGAATCCCACAGGCAAATGGGAACCATGAAGAGGTCGCTAGGAAAGCTGCAGCCACCAAGTACAACCATTAATCTGTATTAAAGCCTTTAATCTCTCTGCTAGTATTTCTCATTTAATAAAATAAGACTAGTTAAGACAGTCTGCCCCAGGGCAGCTGTGGCTACAACTGTAGCTTGCCTCCACCAGTGTGTGAATGTG